AAACAAGCTTTCAGATGGTAGGCAACTGCTGCTTCACCGCCACGTGGCTAGCCATCATGCTATATATAGGGCTACTATCCACATCTCATGCGCATGCTCCTGAGCTGCACAAGCCGCAGTGGATGTAAGCTCGGGTTACTGGTAGCCTAGGAGCTTGTGTCATTCCCAGGTGAGGTCACCCCCCTTTAGCGGTGGCTGACATTTTGCTCCTAGTGAATGGTCTTGTTGCAAACCACACTACTATAATGATTGGGGCTGACGGATACCCCTAGCCGGCCAGTAACCTGCGCTTACACCCAATGTGTCTCATGTGAAAGGCACATGCAATAATTAATTACACCGGGCTTGCCCTGGCATGCCTTAAGGGGGCGGGCTGTGGTGAAGGTTGACGGGTTCCCCCTCCACTGTACATCCTTCACCACATGTACAGCAATGGAGTAGTAGCTAGTGGTATTTTGGTGGGCGTTGGCCTCCTGGGTCTTCTGGGGGAGGACTCGTTCCATCCGCCTTCGGTGCCTCACTATGGCGTTGAGAAAGCTGACAGCATTGTCATGCAGCTCATCATCACAGCATGCATGTGCGGTGAGTGTGTTTGTGGTATCCAATAACTAAGTCCATCAAAGATGGTGGTAGTGAAAACTACCGATTAGGGTGGGCATAGCCCGAAGTAGGCGGCGTCGCGGTACGAGGTTGTCGTACAGGCCTCGAAGTTGCAGATGACGACCCAGACAGACGTATCAGTACGTACAGTAATCGGTAGGCAGTTAAGCACTAGAGACCAGTGTCCCGACTGTTACAGAAACAGTCCCATTCTCGCGACAGTACGAGAATACCGTTGACAGTAACGGGTTTACAGAGCCTTACGTACAGCTGTAAGACTAGTAGCCACAGCTGCTACTCAGATTACGCTAAGTACAGAGCGTAATACAACAACTATCCCCCTTCTCGCGGCAGCGTCCTCGCTGCCCCTTGAGACCGAAGACGGACCTCATCCAGCAGAGGCTTCAGATCCGGGGTGAAGTTGGCAGCAGGCTCCCAGCTGTTATGCTCAGACGAGTAACCAAGCCACTTGACAAGGTACTCGTGCACGTTACGGTGACGCCGACCAGAGCGGACGCGGCGGAGCCTGTAATCCAGGATGCGCTCAACAGAGTACTGGGGTTCATTGTTAATCCAAGCCACCGGTCCCGGCTCCTTGGTTACACTAGGGGAGGACTCGTCAGCTTCACGGTATGGGCGAACCAAAGACACGTGAAAGGTGGAATGAACCCGCATGTCAGACGGCAGGCGTAGCTCAACAGCAGCATAGCCAACCATGCGTACTACAGGGAACGGACCAACCCAGCGAGGAAGCAGTTTGCGTGGACCCGTGACCCTACTGCGAAGGTTCTTGGTACTCAACATCACTAACTGACCCGGGGTGAAGACCACGTCTTTCTTGTTGCGGTTGTAGTAATCCGCGGCCCGTTGTTGAGCAGCTTCAAGGCAGGCCTTGGCTTCGGCAAGGCGGGATACAAAGGACTTGGCAAACGTCTTAGCAGCAGGAACAGAGACGTCCAACTCACGCCAAACAGGCAAGGCGGGATGGAATCCGTACATCAGAAAGAACGGACTTTGCCCAGAGGAGCGGTTCACAGCATTGTTCAGTGCAAACTCAGCAGCAGTCAAGTATGTATCCCAGGCAGACGGGTTACGGCCAGCAAAGTTGCGCAGCATGTCACCTAACGTGCGGTTAACACGCTCAGTCTGACCGTCGGTCTGAGGGTGATACGCAGTCGACAGATTGACGCGCATAGACAGCAGCTCACCCAACGCAGCCCAAAACTTACTTGCGAATTGAGGACCACGATCAGAGACCACGTTAGCAGGGACTCCATGCAAACGTACCACGTTATCAAAGAACAGGCGAGCAGTTTGCTCAGCAGTACAGGCGGTGGTGGTAGGAGCCAGGTGTGTCATCTTCGTTAAACGGTCAACCAAGACAAGGACAGCGTCGTATCCCCCTTCAGTTTTGGGCAGTGCGACAACAAAGTCCATAGAGACACTTTCCCAGGGCGCATTCGGAATGGGCAGCGGTTGCAACAGACCGTGACCCTTGCCCGACAGGGGTTTGTTAGCCTGACACTCACTGCAACAGAGGACGTAGTTCTCGGCGTCCTTAGCCATACGAGGCCACCAGAAGGTACGGCGCAGGAGTTCCACCAAACGCGTGCAGCCAGGGTGTCCAGCCAGAGGACCGTCATGGAACTTCCGCAGGAGATCTCGGCGCAGAGCGTCGTCATTCGGGACGACAAACTGTCGGCGATCACCATCTGTACGGACCCAAAAACCACGATCAGAAGTCAGCCTCGCGGTATTTTTGGCAACAGTGAACCATGGGTCAGTTGAGTAACCACGCTTAATGCGGGCAGCAAACTCAGAAACGGACGGCGGCTGGGCAGATTGCGCAGTCTGGCTACGCGTAACCGCAGACAGAAAGACAGCATGCAAGTTGGGGTGTCGGCTAAGCGCATCAGCAATGTTGAGCGAGCCGGACAGATACTCCCAGTTGTAGTTGAAACGCGCCATATACTCCATCCAGCGAGCCTGTCGGCGGTTCAACGTAGGGACCCCTTGCAAGAAAGTGAGGGGCTTGTGGTCAGTCTTGACGACAAACGGACGGCCCTCCAGATAGCAGCGCCACTCGCGAAGAGCATGCAACACCGCGAGCAATTCCTGTTCACCCGTAGTGTAGTTGCGCTCGGCGGAAGAGAACTTTTTGCTCGTGAAGGCGACAGGACGCCCTTCCTGCAACAGAACAGCTCCAGTGCCGTGAAGGGACGCATCGGTAATAACCTCGACACGAAAAGGCAGGGAGAAATCAGGGAAGCGCAAAACGATATCACCAGCAACAGTGCGCTTAATGGCGTCAAAAGCAGCTTGGCAGGCAGGAGTCCAGGCAGCAGGGGACGAGAAAGCATTCTTGCCCGTGAGACTCGTAAGAGGCGCCGCCAGAACAGAGTAGCGCGCAATAAACTTACGAAAGTAGTTCGTCAGACCCAAGAACTTACGGAGCTCTTGAACATTGGTCGGAACAGGCCAATCCCGCACAGCAGCAGTCTTGCAGGGGTCCATGCGAACACCGTTAACAGAAACGATGTGGCCCAAGTACTCAACCTGCGATTGAGCCCAATGGCACTTGGAACGCTTGGCGTACAGCTGTTGCTTCCGAAGGATGTCAAACACGAGCCGCAGATGCTCCAGGTGTTCTTCCTTGGTCTTAGAGTAGACTAGGATGTCATCCAGATAGCAAACGACGAACTTATCAATGTACTGCCTGAAGGTACGGTCCATAACGGCTTGGAACGTGGCAGGGGCGTTAACAAGACCAAAGCTGAGGACAGTGTACTCGTAGTGCCCATACGGAGTACGGAAAGCAGTCTTTGGAATGTCAGAGTCAGCAATGCGGATTTGGTTATAACCCTGCTGCAGATCAATGGAAGAGAAGTACGCCGAACCCTTCAGCTTATCCAAGAGATCATCGACCCGTGGCAGCGGGTACTTGTTCTTAACAGTAGCAGCGTTAAGACCCCGGTAGTCAATGCACATGCGCAGCGTACCGTCCTTCTTGCCCACGAACAGAATGGGGGCAGAATACGGGGACGTACTCGGGCGGATCATACCTTTCTTCAGCAGGTCAGTCACCTGACGCTTAACCTCATCCAACTCCAGGGGACTGAGGCGGTACATGGGGCGCGAAACAGGCTGCGCCTCAGGCATCAGGGGAATGGTGTGATCCACGGGACGCATGGGCGGTAAACCAGGAATCTCGCGGAACACATCAGCGTACTCTTCCAGCAGAGCCTCAACCTGCGGGTCCTTGTCAGCGGACTGCGGTACAGCGTTGTTAAGCTGCAGCTTAGGGCGGACGAGCAAGGCATGGGCTCCCTTACGAAGCATGCGCACAGCAGCCTTGCGACCAACCGTTTCGGGCACGGCCTGCTGACAAAGAGCAGCAGCGGCAAAGTTAACAACGGGCGGAGAGGCATCAGGTGTACTCGACGCAAAACACACAGGAACCTTGCAGGTCAGAGTGCCCTTGCGCAGGCGCAAACAGCGAGCACCGAAATCGAGTACGGCAGCGTACTTATCAAGGGTAGCAGATCCCAAGATGTACGACGCAGCGTCAGTGAGCTCTGGCAAGACAAACGGCTGCAGCGTGAGATGCATGTGCCCTACAGACAGGCGCAGCGTCACTTGGCCCAGAATGTCCTGCTTACCTCCGTCGGCGAGGGTAACGTGTTTCCACTCACTAGAGCGAATCCGAAGACCCAGTTGCCGTACGACAGAGTCAGACACGAAGTCATGACTAGCTTCAGAATCGACCAGGGCAGAGAGGTCGCAGCCAGCAGCACGGAGCTTGATCAGCGGCAGTTGTTCACCTGAGACAGCGGCGGCAACTGGCAGAAGAATACTAGACACAACGGGTGCTGCGTTAGCCAAACTAGCAGAGGAAGAGGGGGCATCATACCAAACATCTACTGCATGCGAGACACCAGGCAGGGGAACAAGCTGACCCTCGACGTCTAGCCCGTGAAAGAGAACAGATCCCTTGCTAAACGTATGCACCCGCTTCATACCTGTAAGCAGTGGGGAAGCCTTACGTGCGAGGTATGCAGGCAACAGAATGCAACAAGCAGTATCAGGATGCTGGCGTTTGCATGCCCGGTAGTGCACGAGTTGTGACTGAAACTCATGCAGCGTGGAAGGGGTAAACAGGACAGTGTGCCGAGCTAGGCTGACAGAGGACAGAGGACGACCGCGCGGCATGAACAGATTACATGCAACAGCGAACCCAGAGCAAGCAACGCGGGCATCAAACGAGAAACGGCGTCCCACCAACTGTTCGACCTGCTCAAGCACAGTAGGCAACAGAGCCCTAACCGCACGACTAGGACAGACGTCGAGCGCTGCAGGTGAAAGACGCCCAGGAGGTGACCCCTCAACACCAGCCTGGGTAACCCCCTAGCCAACGATCGGCTGGGCGGCCTCCTCAGGAGGCACCCACAGCTCACCAGCGACCGACCGGCAGACCTTCACCATGTGTTTCTTGCTCCCGCAACGCAAGCACTCGTTGTTGGCCAAGCGCCGCTGGTACTCAGTATGGGAACAGGGGAAGTTCCGCATCATCCGCTCCCCCTTCCCCTTCTCAACACCGCCCTTGGCCCCCAGCGTGCCCTTGCCGTTGCCGCCCTTGCCGTGGCCCTTGCCGTTGCCCTTGCTGTTGCCCTTGCCGTGAGCAGTGGCGGCAGCAGCGCGAGGCTGGGACTTCTTGGCGTGCTTGGACTTCTTGGGCGGCCGCTCCACCTCCTCTTCCTCACTCTCAGACATGTCCTGAGCGGCAGCGAAGAAGTTCAGACGGAGGGCAGAGTGGGCATATTTAGAGGCAGTCAGACGGGCCTCCTCGCCCAGAGCAGCCTGTACCAAGTCCCGATAGGAGCTGAAGGGAGTGCCACGGAAGGTAGCGGCACAAGCAGCAGTCAGGCGATCAGACAGGCCAGACTGGAACCAGAACATGCGTTCCCCCTCAGTGGGTTCGGCAATGGCGGTGAACAGCGCATCGAAGCGGCTCTGATATGCAGCGACAGATTCGCTAGAGCGCATGCGATAGCGACCAGAGGCAAGCTTCTGGCGTGCCTCAGTCTCACGGGAACGGATTTGCGGTGCAAAGCGGACCAGCAGGGCATCGAGCAGTTCACGTGAGGTGTACGTAGTGCGAGCAAGGGTCCACTCGTCGTGCCAACGCTTGGCGCGACCCTCGAGCACGTTAGCCAAACAGAGGCAACGCACACTGTCGAGGTGACCACCCCTGACAAGCTCAAAGTACCGGTGAATGTCCCGAATGAAGGCCCTTGTCCTAACCGGGATGTCCCGAGCCTCTATCCTGTCGTCTAGGTTCAGCTTAGGCACCGGAACATCAACTTTAAGTACCTCATCAGCGCGAACAGGCGCGACAGCAGCAGCAGCCACAGGCGCAGGAGCAGGCGCAGCAGCGGCAGGGGCAGGCGCGGCATCAGCAGCCGCGCCGCCAGCGTTGCGCGTGGCTGAAAACGGAGGAAAACGGCGTGGGCGTGGGTCACGGGGCAGGTCAGTTCGTGGCCGGGCGAACATAGCATCAATTTCATCCTGCAGAGACCGTTCTGTCCCAGCCCGTTGGTCAGGTGACTGCGGCACATACTCGCCATCCTGGTCCGTCGGTAACGGCTGAGTATCGAATCCCTGCCCCGGCGGCTGAGCGCCATCACCTAGCCCAGGCGGCAAGCCATTCAGCCGGAAACCACCCCACGTGGCAGACATGTTAACAGCGCAGGAATTACCCCACCGGAAGGCAGCTCAACGCTGTTGAGAGCGTGTGAAACGGTCCGAATCACGCTTTGCAATTGCGTAACCGCGGCCTCAGCGAGCGCCGCGCGAGCTTCAGCGGCCACAGCACGAGTCTCAGCAGCAAAAGCTCGAGCCTCAGCGGCGTCAGCGCGGTT